TTACCATCATGATGATTATTGCTATCATTATTTTAATTTATCTTATTTGAATTGTTATTGTATTTTTGGTGTTGTTTTTTCTGTTATTATCAGGATAATTATAAAATCATCGTTATTATCTTTATAGTGATTATCCTCATCATTACTCTTATCATTATTATAATTTCTATCCTCATTATTCTTCTCATTATTATTTTTATCATTGTTTTTTAATGATAATTATCATACCTGTGTTTGCAATCATTATCATTAACACCATCATTATTATCAGCACCATTATCACATTATAATAACTTGTTGTTGTTACCATTTCTACTGTTATCATCATTATTATCAATGTGAACATCATATAACAATTTTATTTATTTGCTGTCATGCGGCCATGCGTTCGTCTGGCAGACCTCGCAAATTCCGTTTGTATTTTACGCCCGAAATGATATTCCATGTGAGCGCTGGCTGCATGTCTCGTAATGCTGACGTAAGAAGGTCGTCGCATACCTGAAATCATATTCCATGTAAAACAGGGAATTCATGTGGTAAATGGGAGGATATTTGACGACGTTGATATCCAAGATTCACACACGCACACGCACCCGGGACACACGCACACGCACACGCACACGCACACGGACATAAACACGCACACGCACACACACACACACACACACACGCACACACACACACACACACACACACACACACACACACACACACACACACATACACACACGCACATCGTAATACGAATCTATGAGAATCCTATCATTATCATTATCATTGTCTTTATTACTAACGTTATTGTCATTAAGATTATTCGTATATTTATCACTATACACAATTATTACCATTATCATTTTTGGAGTCATACACTATATAAAAAAAATGAATCATTAATACAACTTTGCAAGGGGGAAGGAGTTAAGATAAAAGGTAGAAAGGGAAAGGGAAAGAAAGGTTGAGAAGAAAAGAGGAGGAGAGGGAAAAAGGGAGAGTAAGAGGGCTTCTAGAGAATAGGGAGACGGAGAAGTGGGAACAAAGGGGAAACAGAGGGGACTTGAAGAGAAGAGAGAGGATTACCCTTTTCCTGGAATTTCCACCGGTTATTATTGTTGTTATTGTTATGAACTTTATTTCTATTGTTACTATTATCATCGTTATTATTATTGTTATTGTTATCATTGTTATTATCTTTATACCATTGTTACTATCATTATCATTGTCATTGTTACTATTGTTAATACTATTATTGCTACCATCATTATTGTTATTATCTTTATCATTATTGTTATTATCATCATCATTATTGTTATTATTGTTGATACTATTATTACTATCATTGTTATCATCATCATCATCATTACTGTTATCATTATCATTATTGTTATTATCATAATCATTATTTCAATTATTATCAGTATTATCATCATTACTATTATCATTATCATCATTCTCATATTTATTGATATTATCATTACTATAGCAATAACTAATCTGATATCATAATCATTATTACTCTTCTTATCACTATTACTTTATTTTTATTGTCCTTTGTTGCTGTTATTCTTCTTTTTCTTTTATATCATCATTATGGTTCGAAGAATCTAACATATTCATCCATCCTCTCAAAATATCAACATTAACTTTATGCAGCAGGAAGACTTCTGCATACAATGGGGTTATTGTTATTAGAACAATTGATGGCGATTTGGCAGCGAGATTGTGAATATTTCTATTATCATTTGAAGCAAGGGTAACGCTGTGTAAAAAGGGGGCAGTTCATTAATATGTAAGTAGAATGTTATAATGAAAAGGAAAACAAGGAGATTTTTTTCATATCTTATCGCGGCTGTTTTTTCCTCTACATTTTTGTGTACACGTTACTGTGTTTGAGCTTGTGTTCAAAATGTTATAAGTATCCTTCACTGCGAAAACTGAATCATCACCATTATTATTATTATTATTATTATTATTATTATTATTATTATTATTATTATTATTATTATTATTATTATTATTATTATTATTATTATTATTATATTATTATTATTATTATTATTATATTATTATTATTATTATTATTATTATTATTATTATTATTATTATTATTATTATTATTATTATATTATTATTATTATTATTATTATTATTTATTATTATTATTATTATTATATCATTATTATTATTCATTATTATTATCATTATCATTATTATCATTACTATTATTACTATCATTATTATTTTTGCTATTATCCTTACCCTAACCACATGCATATGATATCAGATGTTACAACATAACACATCATAAACGGTCTCCCCTCCTACACTCACGCACGGACCACCAGGAGCATCACACCTTCCTGGATCACTATGGTCAACACAGCTCATAACACAGCCCTCTCCCAACTTCCACACACTCACGCAAAACATCAAAATAATTTTCTTTACACTTTTATCACATTTACATTCATACACACGCATGTACATGTAACATCAAAAGCAT